TTTTTTTAAATGTTTAAATCTGTTACAATTTTTTTTTTTTATTACTGGTGCAGCAAAAACTATATACGAATTATTTGGTATATTAGTCCGAATTTGTCAAACTATGATAACAGCTTACTGTGAATGGCAGTAGTATTCTAATATAACGATCGAACTAATAAATAATCGCAATTCGTGTGCAATAAATATTAACTTGTTAATTTTTTCCGTTTAAGTCTTTTTAATTAGAGTAACATATTATCTTAGTCGTTAATCGTATACGTTAAAGAACTATTATATGAAACCTATATGATGAATTCATTTACATGAGGAGATGGAAGAGGATGCGGGCTAAGGTACCCAATGCTTATCATTTTATTCACTAGATTAATCTAGCTTTAAATCAAGGACTCAAAGGCGAATCTGAACTTAATCCGTTAAAGATCGATATATCTTCTTTTAATTAGCGTTATTTATTTCTCAATATTTTTAATAATTTATTATCAGCGAGATAAAAATTTCCCATATTGAGGTAACAACCTCCGATAAAGATTGGAGCAACTAATGTATCTGCACCTTCTCAAAAGGTGGCAGCTTTACTAGTGTCAAAGCGTACTTGTAGAAAAACGTAACAAAAGAAAAGGAATATTTAAAAAAAAAAAGAAATTATATTAACACTTCGGTAGATGCATGGTCGAATGTTAGTGTGACGCAAATGATAGATATTAAACCTGCGTGCTTTGTTATTAACGGAAAGGGAATAGTTATATAAGACAGGCCGATATGATATTGCATTTCATTAGTGAAGTAACTAAATAGCGAAACAAAGTAGTAAATCGTCTACGTTGTCGTTTACATTACACGATGTTACTTGCGTAGCCCTGAGAAACATTCCATGCATTTACAGAAGGTATTCAGTACGATGACAATTGTTTTGCATTCATCGCATTTTCGTTGAAGATTATTCCATCGATTAAACTTCCGTCTACGTGAATAGACTAATATCTCATCTTGTATGCGTGTCGATTTTCGTACGAATCAGAATATGTTAAATATACATTACCATGAATACCGCTCGATGCAATTGCCCTATCTTTTTATTTATGATTACCTTTAAATCGGCTTCGAGCGCGAGTGCTTTTCTTATTTTCATTTTTTTAAAACATTGGCGTTAAGATTAATTAATCGCAGAAATTATATATATATATCTATGACTTAAATAAGACAGGAAATGTGTACATATATATGGTTGTATATATATTTATATGTATTATTAAAGTATTAGCTGAAGTATGTACAAATATTATCACTAATTTGTAGTATCTGCATCTTGTTGAATTCTCTTCTTTCGTTTTAAGGATATTCACCAACCAATAAATATGCCTCGGTATTTAGAAAAAAAAGGAGATAATGAAAAACTAAATGAGGTAATCATAAGATCGGTTCTCGGCATGTGTGCCGGTACACTTCCAACGTTATCTTTTATTTAAAATCTCTGTAATCCGTTCGCGTACAGATGCACGATATTCTTTCCATTACTTTTTTTTTTCATCGTTTTGTTATTGATACTTACTGTTTTCGATTTATGATATACTTTGGTAAATTGCGTACACAATACGCAGCTTATTGTTCTTATAGTAACTTTCACAGACTTTCGCGAAATGGACACTACTGCCGTTTATTGACTGTTCTCGATGGAATTATCAGGGCTCCAATCCAAACGTAGATCATTACCCTGGATTTAAACACAGGAATAAAATGTGTGTACGTGTATTAATGTGTCTGCATATGTGTACTCCCCCCGTATAAGTGTACATGGGCATGTGTATCAATATACACAGTGTACGTGTACATGTACGTGTTCGTATGTTGTGTGTGTGTGCGTGTGTGATGTTTCTTTCTTAAAAGTTGAAACAGTTTTTGCGAATGAAGTGAACTAGAGTTAGTATGCAACTTGGAACAAAGTCTATTCAAATGTAGCGACGAACATGCGTGGTACAATATATCGGGTGCTCGATGATCGTCTCGTTTCCAGACTCTACACAGTAGAGTGTTTTGTAGACATCGCTGAAAATAGTACACCTTAACATCGAGTAGAAATATTCCTAGAGCGCGCGCACGTATGAATGTATACAAGTCTTGTATTTTGTACCAATGTATTAGTTTTCGCACGTCATTTATATTTTACACACTGCACCCCCGTTCGATCGCCTCCCTCAACGCTCCTACACGGCCCCGGGATCCCATTCCGATCATCCCCGTCCCTGTGTTCCGCCGCTCTCCCCAAAAGAATCCTTCTCGTCACTAAACGTTAGACACTTCTCGTCGACCCCGTGTATATTATTTTCTCGATCGTTGTGGCCGCACCTCTCTGGATCGAGCGCGTACGTTAATTCGTCCTGTTCCAATTGTTAATTAACATTTAGCTACTAGCCATATATCGCCCCTCTATCTCCCTTCGTTCACCTAAAGTATCGGGACCGCGTCCGGAGGCGCGCGGCACGCGCCACGTCGTGTTGTATAATTTATTAAGATTGTTTATCCAGCACTGTCCCAGCACTGTTCACACTA